ACAAATTATGAATGACATTTTCGTAATAAAAACTTGTTACTAAGATTTATTTGTCTTTTAAACTTGTGTTGAGTTTCAAAGTTAAATAAAAGTTGTTCTAGTAATTAACCTACTTTCCAAAATTGTTTTAGTAATTATCTCTTCATAATATCTCATACGATTTTATATTGTAAAACACTTACTTGAGCACATGAAGTCCAAGCTCTGAAAAACTCCCCGGTGAAAATCATTGGTGCAAGTAAGAACGGTAAACCAACTACCGTCGAGCAGAACAACATCTCCATCTACCATTGATGGAGGGGGAAAAAACGGTTAAAAATTATTCGAGCAAAAGGAATATTATTGAAAAGGAGAAATTGTAATTTTTCTTACTTGTGTTGTGTCGGGATTCATTGTAAAGATTGCTTCTTGCAAGTTACCGAGAAAAGCGTCCATGACGAGAGCGCCTGTGATCATCATGACCCCAATTATGCTGAAGTTTGGGGAGCTATGAGCATCAGCTAATGTGAATAAGATTAGACCGATTACAAGTAGCATAGCTGATATGTACTCATGGACCGGGTATTTTCTTCTTAACCCGGGTATAAATGCTCCCATTACCATAACCGGCAAAACCTATAGAAAGATGAAGAAATCAAGTTTAGACATATTGCAAGAAGTACACGATCAACCCCTGAAAATTTCTTACCTATCATGCTAACCAATAACCTAAGATGTATCAAGAAAGTGAGTTTTCCGTCTTTGATCACAACCTTAACATTGATTACAAACTCCATTTATGATTTTGGGCCATTACTAACAATGTTATAATGTTAGGAGTCTAGGACTAAAAAGAACGCCGAACTTAGTCCCAAGCCACGGTTAGTCCAAACTTAAATCCCTAGGCTCAACTAATGACACTATTGGAATCGGACCAACATTACTTGGTTAAAATTAAATCTAAATCTTTATATATACCTTAGTGGATTTGAACATGATTTGAGCAGGGTAATTGAGATAAGCCAATGAGCCTTTGGTGAGGCCATGAGATCCCATAAGAACACCAGAGAGTTTCACGTAAGTCTTCCATGGATTCACCATTTGCTTCGTCGTGAACCCTTGTAGGTATATCATGATAATGTACACAAATCCTTGCACAAACGTGAAATACCATCCATAACTGCAACACACCCACACATATTATACTTATATTATTCGAATTATATTTATAAATCTGTATTGACATATAAAATACCTGAATTTGAGCCGGTTGTACACATATTCCTGCAAAATTTGAGAGACGAAAACAGAGTATATTAAAAAACTGAAACGTTTACATTTTTGAAAAATTATCAGCTAATTCTGACTGGTTATAAAGCTAATGTTATAGGGATTTAAAACAGAGTTTCAGGAGAAAGTAACTTCGGCTTTGTGATCCAAACAGAGAAAAAAGATATAGGAATCTTGAGATATTGATTATGTATATTTCGTCTTAAAATGTATAAACATCTTAAAGATTGAACAAATATTTACATGCCAAATATTAGCCTTTGTTTCCGTGGAAAAGTCTTTGTTCTAATGAAATAATTTTAGAAGAACACCGAATTCTTCTCTAAACCTTTAACTTTCTCGGAAAATTTTCTGTAGTTTTTTTTACTCGGGGAAAAGACAGAGAAACACCGCATGCAAAACCGGCGTTTTTCAGACAAAATCAACTCATGAAAAAGAAAAAAAAAATTCGATAAATAAATAGAAAAGAAGTCTATGATCATATAAAATAGAAGGAAATTAAAATCGAAATCAAACCTCGCAGACGCCATTAACAAGATAACCAAAGAAGAAACCAGAAGAACATATGAGAAATTGTTTCCATCTTGGTTTATCAGAAAGTGTAATTCCAAATAGTGATCTCATTTGTTCTTCGCTGTTCTTCATGATCTAGAAATTTTAAGGAAAAGAAAAATAAAATAAAACCTAAGGAGAGTTACAGGTTGAAGAAAACTGAGATTTGCAATTTCTGTTGGAAATTTAGGATTTTGTAAAAGTGGACGAGTCAGTGATATTGACAAGTAGAAGAAGAAAGGTATAAAATCAAGTGAAGAAAGCAACAAAAGAAGTATTCTCCTTTTGGATTGATTTTTTTCTCTCTAGCTCTCTAGCTCTCTAGCTTTAACGTTCACAACTTTTAACAGAGGATTAACTACTTATTGTAGAATTATAAATTTCACTATTGGGATTTGGGAATAGAAATTAGGGGCTTAATCTTCTTTTTATTTATTTTCGTTGATATTTATCTTAGGTTTAATTTATTTGGAAAAATACGTTTTATGTTTATAGTTATTAAATATGGTTTTTTCCCCACATATAGATATATATATATTTTGTTTTTCCCCACATATTGAATCTTTTCTTTTAAAAATATGATCCGATGGATCCGTGAAAATTGAAAAGAGAATGATCACTCTTTATGTTCATGATCTCATATAACTTGATTTTCGCAAATTATTTTTTGATTTTTGATATTACTTTTGCTTATTACTTTATCTTTTTTAGAGATTTTACTTCGAAAAAAGAACCTTAATTCGGATTGAGCATTTATATATTTACCTAATTACCTCATTAACTTGGATTTTAGTACTAGTATGTTATTTATTTTTATTTTTTATTCTAAAAGGTTTTCTAGTACTAGTATGTTATTGAAAGATCACGCACTCACTTTGCTTGAAACCCTCGTTTGATGGATTCTTTTTCTATTGGAACTTGAGGCTTTGAAAAAAGCTTATTCACTCATCTCGTGAGCGAATGATGAGCTGGCAAAGATTAATATCAGTTTCATATAGCCACGTGTTCCACACTTCAGTTCCGCGCCGAAACTTCGTGCCACGTCAGACTAAAAGTTTAGGATGCTCCAGAAACAATACAATAAGAAAAGTAAATCACACTGCTTGTTGTTATTTCATGAAATAAAGTAAACCTACCCTATTGTAGAGAATTTCGCTACAAGTTTAGGAGTATTAAATTTATGTAATCGTGACATGCAGGGCATTTCGCGGTAAACAGCCTAATAATTAAAAACAGCCTCCGAAAAAATGAATGTTCAATCTAAAAATAGTCAAATATTCAATCTAAAAATAGTCAAATATTCTTGAATCTAACAAGATTTGATTAAATTTATTACAACTAGATTGCACTTTCGAGGATATTTACATATCTTATAAACTTTCGGCTTTGAATTACGACGAATTGGGCTTCTGCTTTGTATATAGATAAGCCCAATCATTTTTATAAATTTTATGAAAAGAAAAGATTCCTGGAATCTTTTCTAACCATTCCATGAAGGAACCTTCTAACGCGTCCAGAGGATCTAACCTCCTTCCCCTCTCAAACTAAAAAAACTCTTTTAAAACTCACACACTCTTTACACATATACACTCTCATAAAACTCTATATGATATATGTGGGTCCCATTTTAGTAACTGTAACTCCAAAGTGACATATCTGCATAACTCATATCTTCTTCCATGTAAACATTACCATCAGTCACGTGATTCATGTCCGTATACGATCTCGGCGGCGACATCAACGGCTCCGTCGCGAGTCTCATCATCATCGTCGAGACTTCTTCTTCTTCTTCAACATATCCATTCCAATTCCTCTCCT